TCCTCCTCAGAGGAAGCCAGTGTCTCCAGATGCCCTGGTCTCTGGCAACCAGCATTCTCATTTCCACCTCCATGAATCTGACTGTTCCCTCTAGCTAATGCAAGTGAGATTGCTGTAGGCAGCTGAATTTGGTAGAAATATTATAGGCAATCAGATAGGGCCAGGCCCTCAAGGAGACAGCATGGAGGAGAAGATAGCTTGCAACTGTGAGAAAGATGGACACTCCTGCTGTGGGCTAGACCTAAAGCCCAAAGATGGAACAAATGTTTATCTCCATAAAGATAAGCATCCAGGAATGATCATCACCTTGAGGAAGCCAGGAAGAGTCACTAGTCCAACTACTACTGGCTACCAGATGAACTCCTGTTCTATATTCCTTGCTATGTGACTTGCTTCCCTATTTTGTTCTGGATTTAATCAATTTTACCTAAGCAATTGTGCTTGTAACCTCACTGGTTGACCACAGTTGTGTCCCACCTCATGCCCACCGAAGCAAGTTCCCATGTTCTCTACCTTAGACCCACCTCACCACATGGTTTTATTCTATAAAAATACCCGGAAGAGACTGCTTCCTATATAACTTACTCAGGTCCCCCTCTGTCCCTCTCTTGGATAGAAACTTTCTTTCCCCAGTAAATATTCTGCTCTTAACTTCTATTTGTTCCTAAAATTCATTCTTCGGTTTTAGAGAAAGGAACTTGTCCCAGGTACCTTTCATTCCTCTATATGAAGATCACAGAGTATCTACCTCTTTGTGCCTGCCTGATTTTGTCACTGGGCAGGGTCTGGTGGTCCCCAAAGCTGAAATAAGGAATTTAACCCATTCTGTTAAAGTAAGTTTGCAGGTTCACTGATTCCCTATAAGGAAAAGAATTCTCAGGACCTGTCAGTAAAAGGGACAGGAGAGATAGAGGTATGCACAATATAGAACACTCTCAAAGAATGGAGTGTGGGTGCTCAGAGAAATGAGGTGTGATACAGTTGGGAACTGGGGGTCTTTTTCACTTGCTTGTTTTGAAACAGGGTCTCACTGTGGAGCCCAGACTGGCCTCATCCTCACTATGCAGCCCAGGTATTCTTGAACTCTCAGTGATCTTCCTGCCTCAGCCTATGGAGTGCTGGGATCCCAGGCATGCAGCACCATGCCCAGAAGATCTTTCATGGGTTTGGAGTTTTAGTCTCTTTTCTTTTTTCTCCTACTCCCCTTCAACTTCCCCCTCCTCCTTTGCCTGTTTTGTATTCTTAGTCTTCTCTATTTTGACCCCAAGTGAAAGACTTGCTTAAAGAATTACCATCTTTACCAAGCGTAAGATTAAGAAGCCCATTGTGCCCAGTCATCATAGAACAGAATAGTGACATTTGGATTCTGAATCCAAGGACCAGGCTTGCTCCTCAGGGAGCAAGGTTATGTGTTCACATGTTGTGCCCATCAGGGGACAGAGACTCCCCACCCCACTTTCTCTCTCCTTTTTATGCTCCCCACCCATGCTCACTGTCCTCTGAGGAATCTCAGCCCTCTTCTGAGCTTCCTTCTGTAGTCCACTCTCTTCTAAGAACTGTTAAGACAGGGCCAAGAAACAGAGATGCCAATCTATGTGGCCACTTATCTTCATGGAAAGAGGACAGAAAGAAAGTAGCTAGTAAGGCATATACAAACCACTGGTATAGATGTTTCAGTGGAAAGAAGAAAAAAAATCCTCAATCCTGAGGATGCTAACTTCCTTGAAGACAGGGATCTATGCAGAGCAGTAGGCCAGGACAAGGGCAACAGCCCATCTCCCTCACTGGGACACATGCAGCTCCAATACCTAGAGCCGGGAAGTCTTCCTGCCCCTCATTTCCACATTACACCAGGTCTGCTCAAAGGATTTCACCTGAAGGGCAGACCCAGGCACCGACAGATCACCCCCAGGAGGTTTCCAGTTTCTGCTTATAGTTTTGGGGTACGATATGTTGTGAAAGTATCCAATCTCCTTGGCCCAGCTGTAATATAGAACTGGAGCACAGTCTCAGCCAGAGAGAAATGGGAAAGAATGGCAAATATATCCTAGAATAACTCGCAATGATGATTTCTGAAGGTCAGCAGAGTCTAGATGTGTGTTGTTCTACTTGTCTATCATTGTGGAACAAGCTAATCTCAAATTTACTGACTGAAAACAAAAATCAGATGTAGGTAGAGCTCTGATGGGAGATGTGTCTAGCTCAGGGGGGCATGGGCAGAGATGGGTACCTGGTGGCCCCAACACTGCTGTCTCTGCTATTTCAGTGAGGATAGTCCCCCCAGGTTGGCCTCAATCGGACTGTTACCTGAAACACATACACATGGCCTTTCATAAGGCTCTGGGCTCCACAACAGGAGTGTTCCTGTGACCAAGGTAGGCAGCCATAGTCTTTTTTACAACTGAGCTTTAGACACAACCTAGTGTCATCTCTCACTTGCTCTGTGGGTTGAAATAGACACAAGTTACTCGGTTTCAAAGATAGGGAACACAAACCCTGCCTTCTAATGAGAGGAGCAGCAAGAGCCAAGTTTCAAAAGCTACCATGTGCATGTATGTCCACCTGAGTGTGTGGTGACTCACCGAACTTGTACATGCAGACAACTGAGAGCCCCCAGACTGTGTCACACCCAGACTGTGATGGGGAGCAAGCAGAAATGCCATCTTCATGAGTATTGGAGGCTTCCTGGATAAGGCTGGCATGCAGCCAGTGCTGAGGACAGAATCTACACTGAGATGCAGATGCAGGTGGTTGTGGAGCAGTAGGAGCCTGTGAGCAGACACAGAAGTAATTGTGTACTGACAACGTGGACCCTGACAGGTGGCCTCAGGAACAGAGGGCCTGGAAGGTCACATCAGAAAAGATGGGGGCAGGGTGGAGTAGGCAAGCATGGTTTAAAGATATCCCCAGAGGACGGTGCCAGAGGACGGTGTAAAATAGCTGCGGAAATGGGAGGGACTTGTCTGTCAATCATGAGGATGGTGTAAGATGGAGACCTGTGGTTGCCTGAGGGAAGATCTCTATAGCAGGAACTTGGGCTGAATAAAGAGAAAAAGAGTAAAAGCACACCAAACTCGTGCATGAGTGTAGCTTTCCCAAATGCTGGGCTGGGGATTGAACTCAGGCCCTTGTGCTTGCCAGCCAAGTGCTTATTTCTACTGAGCTATCTCCCCAACTCCCTGTCAGCTCTTTTTATGCAGTGCACATTCTTGTGGGAGCTCCTGGGAAGTTCTATATATGGGGTCCTTGAGTTATCCTGGGATCTTGTGATTGACAAGTCCCTCCCATTTCCGCATCCAGCATTATCATGCGGTATCACTGGGAGCTAAGGTGGAGCGATGGCTTGTCTTCTGAGTACGGTAAGAGGTGAGATTATTTGCTGAAATTTAGAAACCACTGATGATTGTAGGAATTCTGGAAGCTGAAGCAGGCAAGTTAGAGGCCAGCTGGGATAATTTAGGAAGTCTCTGTCTTAAAGTGGGTGGAAAGGGGGCTGGGAATGTAGTAGCACTGGGCTTAGAATTTGGAAGGTCCTAGGTTCTACCCTCAGGACTTGGGGTGGAGGGCACTGATAAGTATGCTAGACATTTTATGAGAATTCTGTGAAAATACAAAATATGCTTTTTGAACTTCACTCTGTAGGCAAATGTTACCCAAGCTATTGTTCTAAAAAATAATAGTACTCCTCAATTTTATTTTAATGCATTTCAAAATGATTACAAAAATATGGCTATAGTAGAAAATTTGAAAAATATGAAAACATAGAAGAAATGAAAGTCACCTATAGACTCTATAGTCACCCACAGTGTACTGCTAGGGGCTGGTTTTATGTCCATGCAGTCAACCTCTTATACAGCTACAATTCTGTTTTACAACACAAAATACAAGTATCTTACACACTTGAGATACTATGCAGCTTTGCTTCAAGCCCAACTTTAAAGGCTATGGGCCATCCAAGATGTTGAGATCGTAACTTATTTAGCCCGTCCACTGTTTTGGAACACTTAAGATGCTCCTGATTATTTTCCTGATACATATATATCATACATACATGGATACATACATTCAGCCAGAGATATAGCTCAGTGGCACAGTACCTGACAAGTGTGAGGTCCTGAGTTCAACTCCTGGTAACCCCCATAATTTAAATGGATAAATAAATAGACCATACATATATGTTTAGATGTCTGCATGTATGCGATAGAGGTATGTATGCAGCCTCATGCACTAATCTCTGCCTCTCAGTATTTTTTCCCTAGGAGAAATAACTGGGTCAGAGCACGTTTTAGTAGAGCATATTAATTCCATGGAATGAGATTCACTGTGGCATATTTATACATGTATCTCCACTCCCATCACATCCACATCATTACCATCTCTTCTCCTTCTCCCTGATCCCCTTACTCTAAATAGTGACACTTCACCTTTCAAGATTTGGTCAAGTTACTTTGCAAAAACAGCGCGCTAATTTTTACCCTCCGTGCATACTAGGTGGCTGGGGCCCCTCCTTGGCATTACCAAAGCAGTACATAGCAAAGCTGCTTCTTTTGGTAACCGCATGTTGGGACTTGGACTTAAAACCTGACGTCACGTTAAAAACAAAACAACACAAAATTAGCAGTCAGAAACAGAATCTCTCTACAACTCTCCGTGACGTCCACGTCCTAGGGGGAGGGTGGCGATTAGAGGAAACTGCAAGGTGCCTTTCAGTGCCAGAGGTTCTGGTATTTTCACCGTGACCCCTGGCAGGCAGAAGACTGGGTCAGGATTTTGTGACAGGGGCTTTATTCGGCGGAAATAGGGAGCGAGTAAAGCTGCCGGGGGGCTGCGGCGGCCGCCCACTATGGCCCCCACCGCGCGCGCACGGCTCCGCGCACACCCCTGCGCGCGCACGAGGGACACTAGAGAGCGCGCGCCCGGGCCGCCCGGAGGGGCGAGGGAGCCGGGAGGGAACGCTGAGGGCGGGGGCGTCGCGGGCCGCCCAGCCCAGCCCAGCCCGGGCCAGCCCAGCCCCCTGCGCGCTCCGTCAAGTTTGTGCGCGCTCTCCGCCGGCTCGGCTCTCGGTTACCTGAGCCGGCGACCACGTCACTGCCACATCATCTGGGCTTTTATATTGCGAGGAAACAGGAAAAGCGGCCGAAGGGCGTCGCGGGCGCGGGCCAATCGCGGGCGGCAGCGGCAGGCGGCGGGCCGCGCTCGGCGGTCTGCGGCGCGGGCCTGGGGGCCTCGGCGGCGGGAAGATGCTGCAGTCCCTGGCCGGCAGCTCGTGCGTGCGCCTGGTGGAGCGGCACCGCTCGGCCTGGTGCTTCGGCCTGCTGGTGCTCGGCTACCTGCTCTACCTGGTCTTCGGCGCCGTGGTCTTCTCCTCCGTGGAGCTGCCCTACGAGGACCTGCTGCGCCAGGAGCTGCGCAAGCTGAAGCGGCGCTTCCTGGAGGAGCACGAGTGCCTGTCCGAGCCGCAGCTCGAGCAGTTCCTGGGCCGGGTGCTGGAGGCCAGCAACTACGGCGTGTCGGTGCTCAGCAACGCCTCGGGCAACTGGAACTGGGACTTCACCTCGGCGCTCTTCTTCGCCAGCACCGTACTCTCCACCACAGGTACCACCGACCCCCTCCACCGGGCCCCCTCCCCTGTCGCGGACCTGGCCTCGAACCCCGCCCCTCCCCCTCCCTGGCGACCGCGGGTGCCGGAAACCGGCGAGGTGACCGCGGGCACCGCTTGGGTGTCTCCGCCTGCAACTCCTGAGGAGTGGTCTCGAGTGGTCGCACGGGCTGCGCCCGCTGGTTCCTCGTTCCGGACACCCTCAGCCAGGCCGTCCGAGAATCGGTGGCATGCTGGCCGGCCGCGGGGTGATGGAACGAGCCGCGGCTCCGGATGCACTCACCTTCTCCCGAATCCAGCCAGCGGGCCGAAACCGCAGAATCTAGTAATGCCACCTTCCCGGGTCACCTTCCAGACTGTGTCTTTGAGCGTGCATAGATATTTCGCTCTTTTGTACCTTGAAGGCGGTTTGGGAACCGCTCAGTGACAGCGCTCTGTGACCCCTGAGCCCGCAGAACGTGCAGGTTCCTTTTTATAATAGGTGGGGGTGAGCGGCGTCCGAATGCCTGCGATCCGTCAAAATGGGGCACCTTGATTCAGCAGTTACTGTATTTCAAGTTCAGGTATGCAGGGCTAGCGGTCAACTTTGGAGTGCCACCTCCCGCAGAACGCTCTGAACCCCACGGCGTCCTCAGGTGCAAGGAAATCAGATCGAGGCTTGGGTGCCCGCACCGTGGTGGATTAGATCAAAGAAGACCGAACTTTCCCACCCGTGTCTAATTTAGGTGAACAGGCTTGGGTAGAGAGATTAACAGGTGTTCAGACACAGAAAGAATCTCTAAAGATGTTACTCGCAGTCCCTTTCTTTTATTCAGGAGACACAGGGCTCTGAAGCAATCCATTCTGGCTTGCGCAAGGTCACTTCCTAGTTAGCAGACAAGTCTGGGAAACTGGGTCGTGTGATTTCCCTGCCAGGTACACTTTGTAACCGGCTCTCCACCAACACAGGTGAATCAACCACCCGTGTGACTGTTTTGTGCCTCCCCACACCCTTGCACCTCCCAGGCTTTATTTGTTCATCTCCTTGAGCCATAGTCACTGGATTGCCCTGGCTGTTGTCCCACCGTGAGTAATAGCAGATCACACAAAAGGTTGGGGTGAATTACTAAACTGATGCAAATTTATCCTGAAACAAAGAGAAGTAGAATTCAGGCCTGTATTTTGATCTTTACAAAACTGTATGAAATGTAACCCTAAACAAGACAAACCTGTTATCTCACTTTCACCTGCTCCCTGGCCATCCTGACTCTAGTTTTTATTTCAGCCAGTACTGCCTCCGCTTGTGCGGCTAGTTCTGTTCTTCTCATTAGCTGGCAGTCGTCTTGCGTTCCTTTTCAGATTATGTTTATGCTAAAGTCTGGATCATTTTTTTCTTCAGAGAAGTATTTCCACTGGGCTAGAGCTGGACCACAGGTCTGGGGAAACATTTTGGGGAATGGTGATTGCTCTCACGATTGATTGTTAGAAGTCAAGCCAGGAATGAGAACAGAACGGTGTCATGAGGAAAAGAACATGTTAGCTTTTTCGAGGTGGGGTTTACTCTCAAAGTCCTATGTACTTAATTCAATGTCAAGCTAGTTTATCCAAGAATTGAGCCACCCCTTAATTAGGAAAAATATAGTTCCTTTTAGAAGGGTGGTAGGGATGGACGTTTTATTATTGGTATTCAGATTGCATTGTAGTTCCTAAGAAAGTCTGGATTCATGCGAAACAAGGGTTCATTTAGGAAATCAGTGCAAAGGGCACTTAGGGATAAGCCTAATGAAAAGGTGCTTCTTGGTTTGTGAAACCAGAAGATCAATGAACTCCTGTTAGGAATAAAAAACATTCTGAATCAAAGGCACGCTTCTGTTGGTATTGCACTGAGCCATTATTAGGAACATTTGGTATCCCTCGTGGCTTCAAAACTGATTTTGTGGCAGAAGTGCAGACAATTTTTAGATTAAAGCTGGGATAGTTCATTCCTAGGAAAATAGTTTCTGGACTGTACAACTCTAATCAAAGTTGCTCTTCTTTCAGGTAGATACTAGTCGTGTGGTCTTTTTAACTTTTCTAGCTATGTTAACTGCAGTCACGAGTTCATTGGTAGTCAGCTGGTGCAGTCACTCCATGGCCTGCTGGAACACCAATGACGGGCGCCGCATACATGCTTTTCTTGACAGTCATCCTTGTAATAACAGGTCTATGAGAGCATTTGTGGCAGACTCTTAGCCTAAAAAGTCCAAGTTTCCATTTCTGGAAGGAACAGTAGTCTTCGTGATCTTTTTGGAAGAAGCCCTAGGTTGGTTGGTGAAGGAATGGTCTTTTCATTCTTTACTTGCCAGTAACTCCCAATTCTTTCTAAGAAACGATTGAATATCTCTTTTACTTCCATTTATAGGTAGAGAGTAAGCTTTTTTGCCTCTCCCATTATGGGGCACAGGGCTGAGTCACCAATAATAAAAGACTGGCTGACAAAAGCAAAGCAGACACATTTTTATTTAGTATGAGTTTTATATGACACAGGAGCCTTCAGTGGATAAGGACATTCCTTTCGTCTGAGTGTTACATGGATTCCTGGAAGGAAAGGCAGAGAACAACGTATGGCCTCTTTGAGGGAAGAGCAGTGAGGAGGAGGGCATAAGAAAGGCTTTCTCGCTTCTGTGGTGTTCTTAAAGGTCATGGTGTCATATTTGGAGTAGCTAGCCTGTCCTGATCTCCATCACCCTTGATTCAAGATAGACATAGTGGCCCTCACATGGGAATCACGTGAGAATGGAGACGAGTGGACGGAGGGAAACACAGTAGAACAGTAGAAGGAGGAAATGGTAGTTCCCGTGTAGCATTTATATTGTGGCTTCCCCTCAACCAAGAACTAAGTGACACTTGAGGAATAAGAGTAATTTTACTAATGTTATCTTAAGGAGCTGTCTACAGCTTTGAGTCTAGTCATTCGTTCTTTTTTTTTTTAACATTTTATTTTTTTTTTCTTTTCAAAGTTTTATTGATAAACATATAGCAATGAGACAGTTTCAAATCAAATCGAAAGTACAGTTTCAACAAATAATACACTGCATATATTCTTCTTAGTGGTTAATTGCTGTACAAGATGCAGACTTGTGATCCTACTTACAAACACCATTAGAAAAAATCATTCTATTCATTATAGTCATTCATTCTTGAGGACCAGGTGTGAGGTTTCCTGTGAGTTTGTCTCCTTTATACCTCCATGCAAGGTTATAGCATGGTCATGGATGTCTGATAAAGGCAGTGTTTGAATCATATGAGATACATAAGTTAGTGCCACATTTTGCTACTTTGTGGATGTGGGATGTAAGACATCTTCCTGATTCCTCTGTTTTCATCATGTGCAGCCAGGGCACCTTTCTTCAGGGGGGCTGCCTTCTTCCTGTTTGATAAGAGATGTATAGAAACCCTTAAAGTGTCAAGGAAAGGAGCTTGTTGGGGGTTGTTTGTGGTGGTCTTTGACTTAGTCTAGTCAGGAGCTACTGAAACACTGGTAGTTTGTTTCAAAAAGAGAAAGTAGAAAAAGCAATATGTGTGTGCTGGACTGATGGTGACTTTGCAGTGGTTGCTAAGAAGAGGAAAGTGCTATTGCCACCAACATGTCTATGTTTATGGAGCTTTTAGAATGGCAACATCAGCTGCCGGGCCGGATTCGGCCACCACCTCTCTATTGTGTGACCTGAGCTACAATTATTTTTATATTTTCAAATGACTGAGGGGGAAATCGCGTATTCTGACACGTTCAAGTTTTATGACAGTCAGATTTCATGGTCCACAAGATGGTTTTTGGCCTAAAGCCATTTGTGTGTCATTTATAGTTGCTTTGTGAGTGGAAGAGCTGCATACACTAGCTGTGACGGAGACTAATATGGTCACAAATCTTAAAATCTTTATTTCTGAATCGTGCTGAGGCCTGCTTTAGAACGGTGCTTAGAAGGAACACTGGGAGTAGTCTCTCGTGTTCCTGCTCCTTTGGCAAACTTCTCGTGAGATAGCTCAGCCTCAGACTTCCTTGTGTTGTTGCTTATGTGGGTACCATACTGGAATTCCTCCCCCCACGCTCCACTTCCAATAACTGGGTGGTTTTTAAAGGATGTCATTAATTTCCAGGCAAATCTATGATACTGCTTATAATTTTATCTGAAGTGCCAAAGCTAGTGTGGACATTGGGATTCCCCTCAAATGCACAATGACCATTATATTTGAACTAGAAATAACAGCAAAAATAAATTGGCAAAGTCTATCTGTGCCAAAAGAGAGCTCATGCTGAATATGTGCACTTTCTCCCCAGGCCTTTGGTCTCTATTCTGAGTATTTACATATCCTTCCATAAATTGAATTACTTGGTTTTTGAACCTACAGCAGACTAACAATACTGTTTTCAGCAAAAGTCATAGATGGTGAAAAGACAGCTGAAAAGCCACAAAATTAAAATGATACCATTTTTGTGTGTGTGGTTTGGTGGATTGAACCCACAGTCTTTACACTGAGCTACATTCCCAGCCCTTCTTTATGTTTCATTTTGAGACAGTCTTGCGAAGTGGCTAAATTGCTTAGGCAGAGCTTGAATTTGGAACTCTCCTGCCTCAGTCTCCCAGAGGGCTGGGATTATAGGTGTACACTAAAATGAAAGTTACAAGCATACCTCCTGGCCCCTTTTCCTGTGCAGACTGTCTGCACTCACACTGTTGTCCAGGTATGCAAGCAGCTGGTGAGGTACAGCTACCACCATCCTTGCCTCACAGGTGGAAGCAGATCCAGACTGGATGGCTTCTGCTTAAGTCACAGAGCTGGCCAGGACAATGCTTGGGCCTGACACCAGTGCATTTTACCTAAGGGCCCAAACTTTATGGTGTGCCTCGGTGCAAAATGTTGTGAGAAGCTGAATTCTATCCCAACGGTTACTATATTGGAGTTCTATTCTCAGTACCTTGCACTGTGGCTGTATTTGGAGAAAAAGACTTTATAAAGAGGAGATTCAATTGGGAGG